CAATTACCCGCTGCGCACAATTCGCCCACTTTCCCCTACTAACACCCGTGGTGTCGCGTTGTCAAGACGACATGCCATTGTTGATGGTAAACAGTTGTCAGATCTTCGGAGAGCAGTCAAGACGTACGGACGTGCTTCTCCGCCGATTACGCATATTATCGATACGCTACTTCTGTACTGACGATCTCGTGGTGCTGACGTTATTGGGTGCGTTCCGTTTCACGCATGATGCGCATGGAGAGCACGGAAGGCGTTCCGTTTCACTCCATGCTCCATTCATGCGCGCATGAGACGGCAGGGTGTCTATACGACTCGCAGCGTAAGACAGCGCATGGGCTGCCTCAGCTCCCGAGGTGAGGCAGTTCATGCAATGTCAATGCGCGAGGATTACGTTAGTCATTTTAGGCGGGAAAAAGTAACTAATTATTTCTATTGTTATTAGTAGGGTATATAGGCGGATTTTAATTCGGAATTAGAATCTACCTATATACCCTACTGTTATTGTATGACATTATTGTGTGAAAAACCACATTTCTTTAAAAATGAAAGAACTTTATGTTTACGAAAACGATGAATTATAAATATTAAACGTATTCAACGCTGAATTCATAGCAGCAACAACTGATAGTAAGGAATATGGTAAAAAATTGTTCATGTATATATAAATATGTATAAATATTTATAAACATATATAATTGTATATGAAGTTAAATACAATTATTATAATTACATATGTAATTATATATATCCATGTGTGTTTATTCATTCTTTTTTCTTTTGTGTAAAATTGTTTTTTAGTGTAATAAAAATAATAATAAGAAAATGTCAAATATAAAATTAAAGGGACAATTTTCGCATTGTTTGTTTTAGAAAAAAATCAAGTTTAGAGAAATGTAAAAAAAATATTCATACTCGTACATAATTATGTATAATTTTACATATAAAAAATTATCAGCAATTTTTTTACATTTCTCCAGATTTCTTTTTTAAAACAAATAATGGGAAAATAATAGAGAAATAATGGGAAAATTATCATTTTAATTTTTTTAATGTCTTCATTATTGTTATTATTTTTATTGCACTAAAATGTAATTTTACAAAAAGAAGGATGTACGAGTATATGTATGTATGGACGTTTTATATATAAGTATATATATTTACGATTATTTATACATCTTTATGTATGTTTGTAGATATAAATTTTATATTCATATATGAACATGAAAAATTTTTTTCCCGAATTAATATCGTATATAAGTTTTGTAACCTTGAACATCAAGATTCTTTAAAAAGCAGCAATGTAATATTTATTCCAAATGCCCATTAGACTTATATTTTTTATCTAGAATGTTTACAATCGTATGCATAAACTGCATAGGATCCGTTCCGTTTCTCTATGCGCTGCATGCGCATGGGAAAAAAGAAACGAGTTAATGCGCGCATAGGATGCACTGCGTTCCATGCGGTCCATGCGTGAAACGGAACGCACCCATTGAATAAACGATTTCTTATTTCCTATCCTTTAATCCTTGAGTCTCTTTATTTCCGTGGTTCGGGAGTGCGCGTTACTATCCGAGTGCAATCTCGTGCATCGGGCGCAACATTTTGGGGGCTCGTCCGGGATCAGAGTGTCTCGGATGATTCGTTCATCGATCGTAACGAGAAGGAGAACTCGAATGCAGAGTCCGGAAGGATCGACGACAGCGGAGCCACGAGATATGGAGACAACAGCGGAAGTAGTTAATGCAATATATGTTCTGGATCACTTGGTGGCAGGCGGGTGACGGGGACCGGAGGGAAAAGTCGGTGAGGGGGGGTTTGAGCGGTGGGGGCGAA